TTCCATAAATTTATGAAAAACATAAAAATGAGAAGATAACGGTAATAATTCCTCAAATGCAGATCAATAATTTACAGATTAGAGGGTTTCATAAAAAAAGGTATAGGTCATTTCTATAAAAAATTTTATTAATCGAGGGTAATTTATTATTCAGTAACTCCTGGTATTTTAAAGTGGAAAAATGGAGTGTGAGAACTGCGAGGTTTTTTTTTTTTATTCTTAACTGCGAGGTTGATATTGATTTTCTGAGAATTAGACTCGATCTTGGAAATAATGACGTTAAAGTCAATGGTAATGATTGAAGTATTCAGTCTATTTACGTTCACCGAGTGTTACTTCCCACACAATGTAAGATGAAATTTCGACCGGATCTGCGTCAAGGAAATCTAAAACGTTAAATTAATCTCATTCGAGTGAAACGTATGAAATTACAATACTAGAAAGAAAGAGTTATTCATCAGAATGCATTAGAGACTTGTCTTTTGAGACACGCACAGCTGTGAAAACCAATTTAGGATTGAATTGCTATGAAAAATTATTCATTTCCTCGCAGCTTTCACTAATCTTTGACATTTTCATGCACCAATAGAAAATAACTATTTAAATTTCAAATATAAACAATTTAAATCTCTAAGATCCCACATTTGCGGCTTTTTTTGGTGAAATATTTCATTCTAGACTCAATTACTTCCAAAGAATTACTCCCCTGACATTCGTAATTAATTTAAAATTCATTAATTAAAGTAATTTAATCCGAAAAATCCATATTTGTTGGATTCTTAGGATAATTAACAATTTCAATAATATTATTGTTCCGGAAGAGCTGGATAATTAAGATCTTCCAATACTTAAATTTTAAATTACGATTATGTGGGGCTTTCCACACCGTTGTTTCACGTTATTTGAAGTTCATCAATTCGCGAAGGTCAATGTGTTTTTGTTCGTCGAACACTTCCATTGAACTTACCGTTAACCATTTAACATAACTTACACCTGTAAGCAGGAATATATTTTTTCCTCTTGAATTGCTGCAAGCGTCACGGTATTGCTCAGCCACAAATTAAATATATCAGTTATGTTTGGGAGGGAAAGATTAATAATAATTAATCATTGAATGGATCCCACGGTATATCTTATCTAAGATCTTTGTATTTGATATTATTCTTTCGATTCTTAAGGAGTTATTAGATCTCAAGGAAGAATCTAGAGTATTCTAAGATCTAAGATCTTTGTATTTGATATTATTCTTTCGATTCTTAAGGAGTTATTAGATCTTAAGGAAGTATTGAACGCATGATGGTTGACGATTGAACGGAAAAATTAATTTTGTAGATTTCATTGACCACCGATTTTTATTGAGGTTTCTTTTTGGGTGGTCGAGCCTCGGAAAATTGGAAAAAAAGAGTCGGGAAGAGGAGATGAAATGATAAAGAACTGAGGTATAAAATACTTCGCGTTTAATAATCACTTGTCGAAAATATATACGACAATATACAAAGAACGTTAAGAAATCGTTGGGAGCAATGAAAGTTGAGTCGAAACCCGTTGGTTTAAACAATTAATGAAATAATTAACACCTCAAATTAATTATTACTAATAATTATTATAATTGCGTAATTGCATTCGTCAACAGCACTGTCAGAATTTTGACGATTTAATATTATTAAATTGAATGAATAATTGTTTTGATTACAAAATCATCTGTAAAATCGATTTCATATTTATGAATATTCATAATATATATATTTCATATATAAAAAATTGATAAACCAATCAATTAATGGATGAATTCACTGATTAATCATCAATCATAATCATTCAATGATTTAGGAATTAAATTTTTAGTTGAAATGAATTTGAAAATTTTGAAATTTCAATTCACATTTTTCAATGCGCACAGGCATTCAAATATATTCGAATATAAATCTCTCGAAAAATCCAGCGGTGCATTAAAATCATCTAATAACCCTCATACGAGTGGCAGTGCCACTTGTTATGCCTCGACTCTCAGAAAAATATAATTACAAATGCAGATAAATTCTACATAAAAATAGTGCAGTATCACCATTTCCTTAAACGACATCGTGTATTTATCTGGCACGTTAATTTAAATGCAACTAGTCGGGATATCCAACGTTTTAATAGGTGTAATCAGTGCAAAGATGGATAATCTTGGTATTGATTGCAGCAACTGGTGAATTTCTGCGGGCAAAATAGCCGATATCTCGGAACTTTTAACTTTCCCGAGGTCGTGCCTCGTGCATAACGGAATATTTCATACTCTCTATAAAACCTCAAGCTCGATTTCACATTTTTATCCTATCACCTTACGAATTCATTGTTTCCCAATAAATTTCACTGAATAACAAAAAAAAATCGAAAAAAAAAAATTGGTATTTTCTCTAATTTTTTTTTATTTTCGTTTCTTCACGGAAATTAATTATAATTTTAAAAATTATCACCAAATTTCAATAATATTTCAATAATATCATATCACATATATAAACAATAATAATAAATAATAATACGTATTGTTTATGTAGAAATTGAATTTTATTTTAATATTATTAAAACAAAAAAAATATATATAGATATAAATATATAAAATTATTATTATAAGTTAGTGCTTTGAATTAAGAAATAGGAATCAATAATAATAATCGATTGTTAGCGTTTGTTTATTCATTTATCTAATTAATTTTATTTTTTTTTATCGATTTTTTTTTATTCTCTTTTCTTCACTGGAATTCATTATAATTAAAAAAATGATCATCAAACTTAAATAATATTTAAATAATACTATATAAACAATAATAATAAATAGTAGAAATCAATTGTTTATTATTTATTGTTTGAAGTATTGGGTTTTGTCTATTTTTGAATATTTTTTTTTTCTTGGGGATCAAATGGTTTGCGATGCAGTTGGACGTTTAATTAATCTTTTGCAGTTGTGTTAGTTAATATACTCTTCTATTTTTGAATTCTGCACGTGAAGTTATGATTTATCGCGTGCAAATTCTCGTTACAAGTTGCCGGTAACTCTCGATTATTTCCAACGTCAAATCAACTTAAACTTGAGTCCCCTCGGTCAATCCACAGTAACTCAATTTATTTCAGGGCTCGGTAGGATCAATGGGAATGGGAATTCAATAAGTTCAATTCAATTGTCATCAATCAATTATCGAAAATCTGCTGAGTGGTGGATTAAGAAGTGAATTATTTTTCGACACCAGTTTTCACTCGATATCTCGGAATTGAAGGGAGATATCGAGATTTTTGTAGACACCTTTTTTTTAGCTCTCACCTTTTTCTACAAAAAATGTATCTACGAAAAAATTGCTACGTTCTCTCAGCTCTGAAATATCGGCTTTAAACGCGTCTCGCAAAAGTTTAGTTATCCTCCCACTTCCTTACTGAAATCGCAATTTAAAAAATTCATTAAACACTAATTAAAGTCTCTAATTCTATTCAACGCCTCTTAATCTTTACCTTTCGGGACACGTAAATGTTTATAAATGACCGGAAGATAAACAATTAGAAATTTCCCAATCGATTTTCTTCGTCAAGAATTCACTAAGAATTTCCTATGGTTTTGACAATTTGCAAAACGCGAGTGTTTTCCGCATTTTTTCAGAGCATTGAAATTACAATTTCAGATTCAATGAACATTACAATTGCAATGTGGATTTGTTTACAAATTTTTATTGATTATTTCTCCCGCGTCGATCCCATCATTCACTGCTGTCATTTATCGGTGACTAAGAGAATTTAAAACCGATTGTTTTTCCTTTGAATCATTGATCGGAGTTGCATGTCGGGGGCTCGTAATTTATTCAAAGTACTTGACGGATCGATGAAATATCGAGTCGTTAAATTATTGACACATTGTGTCTTATAGAAATAAATAAAATCGGATATTCATTCCAAAAATCAATGAATACTCAAAAATCACACAATATTCATTCCCTAATTTATTATCTTACTCTTCCCTAATTAATTAACAATACCCCACTCCATTTTTTTCGTTTAACAATTACTTTTATTTCGTACAATAAAAATATTTTTATTAATCATCATAAATAGATCAATTTTTTTCGGGATAAAAGGGAAATTAATTCCTACAAGTAGCATTTAGAGATGATTAAATCGAGTTAAACTTCCTGTGCACTTCAGGAATAATTTATAAATGTTTGGAAATAATCCAGACACGCCTGGAGGCCAGAGCTCCGGTCTAAAATTCACGGATGATGTCGCAATAATTATTCAGAGCCCACGAGATTTCAAATCTTCACATACGAATTAGTTTTAAATTATTTATAATTATTAAAATCCACCCACCGACTGACAGTAAAATCGGTGTGTGTTATTCTCGTCTTAAAGTTAATTAATTAATTAATCTCGTCTTAAGTTAATTAATTAAGTGTAAATTTTCGAGGGGAGAGGATTTACCCGTCGGTGATGATAAGAGAAATGAAAAAAAAATTAGTAAATCGCTTCACAGTCTATTAGATACGGAGTTATGGTGAATATGCAAACAGGAAGTGGTTAAACGTCGAAAGAAAGTTGATTGGGTATTTTCTGGTAGAACCGTCGGTGATAATCCCCTCAGGGACTTTCCCATTTTTTTTATTTTATCATTAAATCCGGTGAAGAGCCCTTCCACTCAAGGATTTGTTATAAAAAATTTGCAATCATGTGTCCTGACTAAAAATTTAAATAATGATTAATCAATTGATTAAATTCTATTTAATGAATAATTATAATAAGCAATAATAAAATTGAAAAAAAAAAAATTTAGAAAATTTTTTTTTTAATGAAAAAAAATAGTGATAATAATAATAATGAGTAATTATTAATTTATATTGAACGATTTAATATTTATTGAATAATTTGGGAATCTATTGATAATTTTTATTTGTTTTTGAAATAAAAATGAATTGTCACATGAAAATTGAGGGATTATAAATTATTAATGAGTTTATTATTTAATTAATTTGCAGTTTCTTCAGAATTTGGGAAAAGTCGACAGAACTGCAGATGAAATTTTCGACGAGCACCTGCAGAACTTCACAAGACAACAAAGCGCTGCGAATAAACTCCAGAAGGAATTCAACAACTACATAAGATGTGTTCGCTGTGAGTTATGAATAAAATAATTCTATCAATAAATAAATAAATCTGGAAAATTGCGGTGAACTTTCAGAGCATCAAATTCCCAAGTGATCGAACGAAACCGATTTTCTATATCTCAAATAATCAAGAATAAATTATAAAAAATTGACGTGAACTCGTGAGTGGAAAAAACGAGTGCAATTTTCCCTGCGCGTGCGAGACATGTTAAATAAACAAAAAAGCGTTAGGTTAATGGTTTTTTTAATTAATTAAGCACGAAAGAACGAAGGGATTGTACGGAGAAATTCCTCGGAAGTTCCAGAATAATTTTTTGCTAGTTTCAATTCTAAATTCCATGCTCTACCACAAATTGAATGATAATTCTCAGTCTCTGGAATTCCCAGGGATTATTCCTGGGTTTCTCTAACGGTTACACATCCAATGAATCCTCCAGGTGGACTAGAATCATTGTATCTTCTCCGCATAACTATCCTAGGTAAACCCAGTGTATTTATAGAGCGAGACTTAAATTAAAATTAAACGTGAAATACGAGTCGACTGCGTCTGAAAATTGTAATAACGAAAAATGTCGACTAAAAAAATAAGAAAAAAAATATTTCACCGTCAGACTGACCCAATTCCAATGACTTAATCAATTCGATTCTCAAGTCATTCAATTGATCAATCAATCCCACGATTTTTAGGGTAATTGTTTAACAGATAAATTCATGGAAATTTTTAGTCTCTTTAGTCTTTTAGTCGGTAATTTAATTAAATTATCTAATATAATCTTAATATAATCTTAATATAATCTTAATATAATTATCAGGTGAATATCGCGCTTTCTTCTTGAGGGAATTCAATGATTATTTTATTTTTATTTTATTTTGCGATTGGAATAATGCGATTCAGGAAAGAGGAAGAATAGGGGAGTAATTGTGGTTGGTGTACGTTCATCTAGGATCGTGCTACCACTTTCCCCTTCGATACGTACCCGCATAATTCCATCATAATTTCTGCGGTATTTCAGTCTAGTTACTGGCGGTATTAGATACCGGTGAAGATAATTATTGGACTATTTATTTATACTGGTTCCACGATATTTTTTACCGGTTATTTATCCATCGGTAATTGAATGATTGGTTGTTTTTAAAGTCGCGTTTTTAGGAGATTAAATAAACAAATGCCTCTAATTTATCTTAACTAATGAAATTAGATTTTGGTTAATGAATTTATGAATTTTTAGAGTGATATCTCAAAAATCAATTCTTTCGATTTTTTATATTAATTATTATTTTTGTCTAGGAAGTAATTAATTTACTTGACAAAAGGATAATTTAGTAATTTAAAAAATATTATATTTATTGCGTAATTAGAGAATTGATTGATAATTTCGATTGATTCGATAGAAAATTCTGGGATTATAAATTTTTAAAGAGTTCATCATTTTTTAATTACCATTTTCTTTAGAATTTTGTAAAAGTTGATAGTTTCTCTTAAAAAATTGAATTCAATAATGACTTATCGGGACAGGTGAAGGTCCACTCCAACTAGTCCAAAAAAATCGAACAACTTTTACTCGAATGTCCCATGATTACGTTTCCTTGAGCGTAAGAGAAACCGATGATATAGACATTTTGATACACAAAAAAATTCTCTGTTTATCCAGTGAATTTGATTGTACAGTAAAAAAACACGCGAGATGTGAGAGAAATTGTAGAGCCATTCACGTGGCAATTCGTGACATTTTAGTGGTGAAAAGGCCAAGCTGTTAGGCAATTATTATAGGTACTTGTGTTGGAATTGCTTCCATCTTTATTCATCAAATGTTTATTCTCTTTCATGACCTCAGCTGTACAAACAGCATCAAAGACGCTTATGGATACACTCAATGAGGTTTATGACAGCCAATGGACTGGACATGATCTTTTATACGTTCAAGCACAGAATTTGGATATGCTGTGGCAAGATTTTACTCATAAATTGGCGGATCAAGTACTCGTACCACTCAACACATATCAGAGCCAATTTCCGGAGATGAGAGTAAGTTTTATCATTTATTTATCATTTTTATCAGTCACCAGAGACGAACACGCCTATTGTTACTTTTGGGGTGCTACTACATTTTATTTTTCAACGATAAATATATAAGAATTGGAATTCAAACAATCAGATTCAGACTCTGAACTAGAATCAGAGAGATTATGAAATGAAAATGTCCGATGGAATGTTTTTTGAAGCTTTCCCTTAGGAAATGTCCCCAAGGAACCAATTTTATAATAAAAATAATATAAATATATGTAAATATATATAAATATATATAATATTTATATATCGAATAAACCGGCTTCAAAAAATGTCACATTGGATTTTTTTTAAAGGGATTCCTTTCATAATTTCATAATTTTTCATATAATCCATACAATTATTATTAATATATAAATTGTTATTGTTATTCATGACTTAAAGACGAATTACGAATTACTATTAATTTACTTAATTAGTGTTGTTTGGTGAGAATTGATTTAGTGTTATTATGATAAATGAATTTTTGTTTTGACATAGAATTTTTCTGGTTTCGCTGAACGAATTCTATTAATGATTAGTGATAAATTCTGATTGTTGCAGAAAAAAGTAGATAAACGTGGACGTAAACTTGTGGATTACGACAGTCAGAGGCACAGTTTTCAGTCATTACAGTGTAATCCAAAGAAAAGGGATGAATTGAAGGTGTCGAAGGGAAAGGAATTATTGGAAGAGGCTAAACGAACGTATGAGCAATTGAATTCAGAGTTGCACGACGAATTGCCAGCACTTCATGACTCTCGTGTTTTATTCCTTGTTACTAATCTACAGACTCTATTCGCTGCTGAAAATGTATTTCATGCAGAGAGTGCAAAGGTAATTGATAAATAAAATATGAAGTAACAAGTACTTGGAGGGAATGAGATAGTGGGTAAAAAATTGGAGAAATAATTGATTGATGATCAAAACATAAAATTCTATTTTATTCTCTCTCTCATTTATTAATTATATTGTATTTTTTACAGATTTTCTCGGAATTAGAAGCAATCGTTGACAAATTGGCTAATGACAGTCAGAGAGGTTCTTACACATTGAAGAAGATTACCGATTTGCCATCACCAAAATCACCGAACGCCAACTCATCGTAAGTTCTATTTATTCTATTTATTCTCTGTGAAATCCAGTAATAATAAATTTGTTAAAGTATTAATTACGTTTTTGTTAATTGAAGATTGATAATCAACACGCAACCGACGCCCCAGAACAATATTTCAGCCGGTGAGTTTTCACTTTTAATAATCTTTCTGCTTTACGAATGCATTTTCTTTTTTTTTGCGATTAATGAACGTCTAATTGGTACTTGCTTAATCACTAATGAATTATAATAAATATTGACGTAATTTCGATGACTTGTGGTGCGGTTATTGTTTGTTGAGTGGATTTTGCTTGTTGGGTGTTGCAGCTGATGAAGAATCGACTGTTGAGAGTGGAGAGACGTCGCCAACGACTCAGTTGAATGGCAATGCAAATAGTAATTCTAACAGCAATGATAACTCAATCAATAATCAATCCTCACCTCAGTCTGTGCAACCGGCTAAAAGAGTTGAGGAATTGTACGACATACCGACAGGTAAGAAGTGCTGACAAATTTATTTATCACTTACACTGAAATTATTGATTTTCAATTAAATTTAATTCAATTAGAATAAACAAATAAATCATTAATAAATATCTCTATATCCAAAAAAAGGAGATGAATTAATTAACTGCATATTTTTCATTCTATCAATTGATCGAGATCGTAATTATATATAATTAATTGATTATCTAATTGAATATTGGTATAACTCAACGAAAATTCTTCATAACGAATTAGAGGTGGACTTTTGCGTATTGATTACAGCTTTTGTAAATTAATCCTGTGCGTTTGGATTGAAAAAATAATTTATCTAATTGAGGATTAAGTCTAAAACCCCTCAAAGGTTTTAGATAGATGTAGAATGTTAATTAGTCCATCGCTAATGTCAATAATTAAAATTGAATCGTTCTAGACGTGGAATATGAAAATGGTACCAATTTTTCCCTAGGAGCTACCACTGAAAATTTGCCACCAGGTGTTCTGTACAGGGTGAAAGCCACTTATAAATACAATCGTGAAGATGCTGATGAATTATCTTTTGATGTTGGGGAGATAATACGAGTGGTGGAGTACGACGACCCTGAGGAGCAGGTTGGTACTATATTCTAATTAATCCAGATATTTTATGGGTCAAAATCAGTTACAAGGTCTGTTCATCAACAAATTCGACAAATTAATCACAAAATAATTAAATAAAAAGGGAAATCCTCATGACCCTGCAGTTTGCTGGAAATAATTTTTATCAGCGGATGTTTCTCTGTGAAAAATGTGAAAAATTGACAAATTAAAAAATTTTAAATTTGTTTTTTTTTAGAAAGAAGAGATTTAGTGGTGACAGGCGCCAATTATATACAAATATAATTCCAAGGGGAGGTTTAATGAAATATTAACTTTTGAAAGCAATTAACAATGGATATTTAATTTTGGAATTGATTTTTTTTTATTTAAACAATGTCACCGGGAGAATTTACCTCAATCTAATGGTGATAGTGAAATACATTTGAAAAAAAATGTTTAAATAAATTCCAAAGCTAGATATCCACTGTTAATTGCTTTTGAAAGTTAATATTTCATTAAACTTACCCGTGAAATTATATTTTTATATATAATTGGTGACTATCACCATTAAATCTCTTCTCATAAAAAAAAACAAAATTTGAAATTTTAGAATTCCTTGATTTTTCCCTGACATCCGCTGATAAAGATTATTTTCAGGGAACTTCAGGGTCATAAATCCTTGGGAATTGACTTTAATGATTAATTTTAATTTTAATGATTATTTGTGTTGAACAGACACGTAATGGAATAATTTTGACATATCGAAGTGGTAATTCTAGGAAAAAAATTCTTTAAATTTCTTTCAATTGTGGCAGGAGGAGGGCTGGCTGATGGGGGTGAAAGAGGGCACTAACGAGAAGGGAATGTTCCCAGCGAATTTTACAAAGCCCTTGTGAGCAGAAGTGCTCAATTTGCCACTCACACTCCAATGCTCACGAGAATGAAAAAATGAAAAAATAATAGCGATTGAACATAAGAGAAATTATTGAAACAACGTATTTTACTAATAAATAAAAAACAAAACACTAGGTAAGAGAGGTAAATTTTTATGCGAAAAGAAAAAGTAATTAGTCATCTGACGTACAAAAAATAAATCGATATATCGTAAAAGAAATTTTCACTCGTCATCTGACGAGGGAATACTAAATTAAAATGATAAATTGATGGGAGATAAAGAATAGTTGAGTGATTATAAAATATTCTTATAATTAGATGACGTATTTTTACTTGAAAAATTGAAAATTTCGTTTTGTCATTGTAATGACGGTGTATTAAATTCGCGAAATATTTTATTCTACGTTATCAGATAAAATATCTGTTTGGCGGATGGGAACAAATATTTCTTTACCAATTTCATTAATTTGACGACGATGAGAAGGATTTAAAAAAAATATATGTAATGATATTTTATGATGGCTAATGCTGGATGGTACTGCGGATAAATTAATCAACCCAATGTGCCTTAACCCAGCCACACTGTCTGTGCCAATCGACACTCACTGCTTGTAAAATGTTACATCTTTATTTCTTCTCATATCAAAAGACATTTAATAATTATCGTATACAAATAATCAATAATCAAATGAATTAATAACTGAATGAAATCTAGAGTGTACGATGGAAAATCAGAAATTAAAGTAAAGACGAGCTAATGTGTTTCATTAATGAAAGAAAAATGTTAAAAGTGATGAAAGAAAAGATAATGAAGATTTAAAAATCGAGATCCGAGGTAATAATTGTCTTCCAGAACTAATTACAATTTTTACGACGATAAGACTTTCGATTATTTATCTTCCAACACTGAAAATAACTTTCTGATAATTTTATTTCGAATCATACGTTTAAGCTTTTTTTGCTACTGTCTTTTGACATTTTTTAATATCATTATTTGCTACTGGTTTATTAATTTTTTTTTCGTTGTATTTGTAATTAGTTATGGAAGCTCAATACACCAGCCAAAACGTTACAATATATTTACATATTAAATTACTATTATTTTATGAAAATTGTACATAGATTTCTAAAGTCTAAGGTTATTTTACGAAAAACCTTTGTAACGATTTAAAAACAGATGGAATTAATTAGAAAATCGAATAACGAATTAACGATTAACAGATTAAATTAAAGGAGATAATATTAGACTAGTGAATGACGACTCAATAGCCAAATTAAAAAGGTCCAACAACGTCCATCTAATCGATTAAAGACGTGAAACACAATAAAATGTTGACGCCAGATTTTTAGAAAGATTAAATATCGAGAACATGGTATATTGAAGATAAATTGAGCAATAGATGAAGATAATTCACTCGAAAATGTCTCGAATCGTTTTTTATCAGTAAAATGAAACAATTGACCTGTGGTAACTGCAGTTTATATAATAATCCAAGAAAAATGGAGATAAGAATCAAATTGACGAATCTGTCGGTGTAATTATGCATTGAATTACATGGAATGATGTTTGGAGGAATATACGTGAACCTAAAGTAATAATTTTGAGCTTTGACATGGGAGAGTGTCTTTTTAATCTGTGATGATGTGAAATATTACTCAAATCATCTTTCACTCAATTACGGAATTCAATATTTGGAAAGAAAAAATTGGACTGAATTAATTAATTCGTTTTGTCAATGCCAATTGCGGAGTTGAAACGGCGTTTTGTCCTCTTTTTTCTTTATTAAAAAAAGAATGAAAATAGCAACGATGGATTGTTTAGTTTTCTTATTGAGAAAATTTGTTTATAGTTGATAAGATTGTGCCATTGATGCACTATCTCTCGAGGCTTTAACTTTTTTAGGAAATAAATTAAATCTTTCAGGTGCTGCAGAGCTAGTCTTGGAATTTAAAATGAAATCTCGTTAAATGTTTCAATTGTCGTGGTTTTTAATGAAATAATGTTGTGATTGGTGACACAATGAATTATCCTTCCAGAGTTGATAGGGGTAGTGTCTCGATGGCGAAAATCTGATTGTTATTTTACTTATCATTTTTATGTCACGTTGTTTAATTTTACTTGGAGCCATAAGTCATATTATCTATAATCCTATACGTACAGATGAAAGTAATATTATAAATTCAATTATCATCATGTGTCTGTCATTATGATTTTTCTTTTTTCGATTGCCTCAATGAAATTTATATTACGAAAATAATAAAATAGATAGTGGTTTGTATACAACTTAATTGATTAAGTATTTAAATTTAATTTATTATATCATTATCCCAACTTGCTATTTAATCTGAAAATTGTTAGAATATAAAATGAGTATTGCCATTTTTTTAATGAAAATTCAGGATTCAGGATCAGGAAGAGTGAGAGAATGTTTTTTTATTTTTTACTGGATATTTATTTCAACTCATTTTATAATTTTCTAACAATTTAGACTTTACGATCTGGTAGTGCAATAATTTTTAGGCATACGGTAAGTCTTAATATATATAAATAAATACTCGAATGGGGAAAAAATCTCTTTCAGAACAAAATGACTATTCTTAAATCCTAATGCTCTTATTAGTGCAAAGCTCAGCTTCTACAGAACTCTGAAAACCTTATAAAGTCGTAGAATGGAATGATAATCCTCTTATAAAAACTGAGTCAAGGGCTCGTTAGGTGAGCTGCGGTTATTACGTGTGTGTACCAGAGTATTTTATCCACCACTTTTTAACATTCAAAAATACCGCTCGTACTACCACCCCCTCACCCGCCCCGCCACCTAAATTGCACCCTTTTCCAATTGTAATTCTCCATACAATCCAGACTTGAAATCCAGAATTTAAAATTGGAAATTTTTGGAAAGGATAAGGGTAAGAGGGGTTGTTTTACGGGGAAGGAGGGGTTGTTGCAGCAGGAGGAGGTGTACGGGCGGCCAGAGGGTGATTTGAGGAAGAGGAAGAGCGAAGAGGATTGACTGAATAGGCTCAGTTTTGGGGGTTTGAGTGACCCAGCGGCATCGTAGTACTACACCCCAAGAGATGGAGGGCGCCACACGAAATGCTGGGGTGTTCATCAAGTCGAAAGGGTGAATTTTATTTTCTGCGGCATGAATGCTTTTTGTTTTTTATTTGTTTAACTGAAATTTAACCGGCTGTACAACGAGCGGAAGGGGGAAGCCACGTCTTGTGGAATTTCGATGGAAAAAATTATTCAATATGTTGAAGATATACCACTAATAAAATTATGTTACCAGAATGAGCGTGTTGTCTTAATGGTAACGTGCTTGCCTACCACGCCGACTGCCCGGGTTCGATCCCGCCGTCATTCATTTTTTTTTATTAAATAATTCCAATTTTTTCTTTTGTAACTGGCTAATAAATCGAAATATTGGTTAAAAACTGAATAGCTCCTTGATTGTCATGTTCCCCTGATACTTTTACAAAAATTTCGAATTTTTCACTTGCAGTGAAAATTTCAGTGAATAGCTCCTTGATTGTCATGTTCCCCTGATACTTT